CTTAGACAGCTGAGCATGCCTAGGCCTGAAAGCAGGGGCTTATGGGTGATCATATGCTCGATGGCTTCCCACAGCCCTCAAGCCTAAAGCTCGGTGACTGCAGCAGCAGGTTGGTGACAATTGTGCGTGGACCTTGGCCACCTGCTTGCCCACGGGCTGTGCCGTGAGGTGCCAAGAGGCTAGCCAAGGGTACACAGAACGCTAGTCCAAACAACAAAACCTGCTGCCCCAGAGTCAAAGCTCTTGCCCCTAGAATTTAAAATAACTGGGTACCTATGTTCATTACCCAACTTGTGGAAAGGGTGTAGGCTGCACCAGGAGATACGATTTTAGACACTTTTATGTGCCTTAGAGAAGAAATTTTGGTGTGACTCATCAGCTTCATGAACTTAGATGTGCAAATGTCTCTCCAGGTTTGGGAAGTTCTCAGCCACTACTTTAAATAAGCGTTCTCCCCCTCCCTCCTCCCTCCCTCCGTCTGGGACTCCAGTGACGCGTAGATTGTTTCTTAACGGCGTCCTGTGAGTCCCGTAGACTTTCTTCATCCCTTTTCATTCTCCCTTTGCTTCTCTGACGGGGTAATTTCACACCACTTGCCTCCAAGCTCATGGATTCTGTCTTCTGTTCAGCCCCGTCTGCTATTGAAGCTCTCTACTGAATTCTTTGGTGTAATAATTGTATTCTCCAGCTCCAAATTTTGGTTTTTTTTTTTGGTTTTGAGGTTTTCTCTTTGTTGGACTCATTTTGTTCCTGTATTTTCCTGATTTTGTTACCGTTTGCGTCCTCTTGAGCATCTTTAGAACAACTGTTTTGAATTCTTTATCAGGCGACTCATAGATCTCCATTCCTTTGGGGTCAGTTGCTGGAAGTTTATGGTATTCCTGTGGTGGTGTTATGATCCCCCTATTCTTTGTGATCCCCGTTACCTTGTGTAGGCGTTTGAGGAAGCAGTCACCTCTTCCAAACTTTATGGACCGGCTTCAGTAAGGAAAGACCTTCACCTGCGAGTGGGGGCCTCTGGAGCAGGCTGTGTCTCCAAGGCTAGCAGCGCAGGGTGCAAGGTCCAAGTGCAAGGGCGTGTGGCAGCTCCAGGTCTGATGCTGCATTGGTTCGGGTTGCATTGCTACGAGGTCCGCAGCATCAAGCGCATGAGCCTTGGCGGACGCCGTGGGGGTTCCGCAGTGGCTTCCAGGGCTGTTTGGATCCTCAGTGCCGCCTCCAGGTTGAGAAGCTAGGGACCAGGGCGGGCAGTAGTGGTGGCCAGGCTAGTGGTGTGCACGCACTTGGCCGTGGAAGCCAGCTGCAGCTGCCCGTGTGGTGGCAGGGGCTGGGGCCGCAGCCAGCAGCAAGGGCTCAGGCCAACTGCGGGCCCATAAGCAAGCAGCTGGGGGTCCCTGGCTGTCGGTGTGCACTTCCACGGTGGTAGGATCGGCCAGTGATGAGAGGCTGGCAGTCTGCAAATGCACCGCTGGTGGGGCTAGCCACGAGGGTGCACATGGCAGTGGGAGTCAACTATGGCCGGGGTGGGGGGGGGGGGTAGGGGATCCGGGCTGGCATCTTGCACTCTTAGCCGCAGAGGCCTGGGCAGGCTGCCAGTGCAGATCCAGGGCTCTGGTGGGGGCACCGGGAAGGAGTAGAGCAGGACTCAGGCATCTGGCCCCGGGGGCAAAAAAGGACGAAATGTGTAGGGGCTCCATGCAGGTGGGAGGGCTGTTTACTTCTTCAGTGGTGAAAGCCGCTGGGGTCCTCCGGAAGAGCAGGTCACTGGCAACCGTGGTTACTCTTGCAGAGTGGCTGCTACTATAGCCCTTGTCCCCCTTCCTCGTTCTTAGCCATGCCCGTAGGTCTCAGTGTTGCTAGCGTCTGGGGGCAGGGGGACCCGAAGTGGGTCCTTTGTGTGGTGCCCCAAAAGGCTGGGGAGTTCTCTCGGTGCTGAGCCAGTGCTGGAGGCACTCCTCCTTGGAGGATGAGATGACAGAGGCAAAATGAAGTTCTTCCTTCCCTTTTTTTGTAGTTATTCTCAGGCTGTTTGTCCCACTATGCTGGAGTTTTTCCGTGGACTCCTGAGATCGCTTGGAATGGATTTTGTGGACAGTTGTCTAATGTTGTCTAAGTCGGTCTTTGTTGGGGGACAGAGGCTGGGGACTTCTACTGCACCGTCTCGGTGCTCTCATCTGGAAAGGCGAGCTAGGAGTTATGAAACTCCCTCCCAGACAGAAAGGAATTTAAGCAGGATCGTATGACCACCTTTTGGAGAGTCTGAACAAGGGGATCTTGCAGTGGACAGACTGGACATCCAAGTACGTTAGAAAGCCTTGGGGACAGACCTGACTCATCATGTGTCCTTCCCACAAGCACTCCTACGTGCCAGGCAGCGGGCGCACAAATGCAGCGCTGTCCCAGGGAGGTCTTAGCCCAGGAGAGAAGACAAATAAGGATAACATATACATAAATGAAAGGTTACGACAGAAGAAAGGTTACGACAGAGAATGACAGGAGCAGAGCGTGTCTGCAGGTGTCCGGGGGTGGGAGGGGCTTAGAGAAAGCTCCCAGTGGAGAAGTTCTACGCTGCCCCCTATCGGGCAACAGGGCCACTACCTGACTTGGAGAGCCAGTGGGGTGCGTTCCAAGGGAGGGAGAACAGTCCATGCAAAGGCACCGCAGCAATGAGAAAGCAGGGGGCATTCAGAAAAACACGAGTGTCATATAAAAGCACCATTCTCCCCAGGAAATGGGCCTAACAGGTACTATGGGGTATGTGATGTAGATTTATGGCCATGGAAACTACTACAATGACTTTTCTGGAAAAGAGAATAATGTGGGAGACTTACTCTGACTTACCAAAACAATTCAATGTAAAATGATTTGAGGGCCCTCCACCCAACATAAAGAAATCAGCATGTCACCTTCATACATTGTTAGCTGGTCCTTAAATATTTAGTGAACACAATTATTTCCATGTTTTGGATATTTTCCATATTTGGGGCTGCAAAATACTCAGAAACTTAGCAATCTGTGTGCTTCACACCAACTTTCTTTAAAATGAAACACATCACCCAGAAGTTACAGAAACGAGTAGTCAGAGCAGAGGCTTGTCTACACAGAAGTTTAGGGACGATGTCCTCTAACACAAAGAAGTTGACATTATTGCAAGTTTATGGTGTGGCTCAACCCACCTCATAGTTGGCTGGCATAAGTCGAAGTCAAATGCATTCTTCATAATGGGATATAAGCACATTAGGATGATTTCAATGAAGTATTTCTCATGCTACTGCACCGGCAGAGGGGATACTGGAAATACTTAACCAATACGGCAAGGTCACCAACCACTCCGATGCTATGCTGGCCGTGGGGAGCAGGCCCGCTGCCCTGCTGTCCCTGCTGAGGGACAGAGCTTCTGGTACAATCAGCCACATGCTCTGATAATACTGTATGAAAGACGTGCATTTTGCTTTTTCCACACATGGCAGAAAACTTTACGTAAGTGCAAGGTAACAATAAACATAACCACTCTTGGCTTTGTTATCAATATCTTTCGAGAAGTCCCCAATGCTCTGGTGTTATATAAAATCACAAACTCTTTTCAGAGATGCACACTCAACTATTTTTGGGTGAAACGACAGATGCCTTGGGTGTTTCCCAATGCTACAGCATTAAAATGTGGGGCAAAGGTCGGTAAAACAAAGGTGATCCCCTGATCACACTGTTCTTTTCCAACAAGCAGTATTTTCTAACCTGAGAGGGTGATGGCCGTCACTTCCTCAGCCACGGGTCTTCCTGAGTCTGGTGAGTGTTCTCGGCTGAATCTAAAAGTCTAAAAACAACTCCTTGAAGAATTTCATACAACTGGGAATTAACCAAGCAACGGCTAGCTGGGACAAATTGTGACTGTCCACGGACAGGCAGAATGATTAGTCTTTAAAGAGATTCACTCTACAAGTGGCACAGAAAAAAAATTATGAAAAAGTTCACAGGTGTTTTAAAGTCCTTCTAATCCTCTCCTCAAAAAAACAAACAAAAAAACAAACAAACAAAAAAACCCCCAAAAAACCAAAAACGGATAAACTTCACAGAAAATTAAGAACCCCCTACTGGCTTGCAGTGTGAATTGCTAATCATTTAAGTTTTTTTTTTTTTTTTATTTTTATTTTAACATCAGATTCTTCACTCTGAGTAATATCACTGTTCCTTGAGACTTCAAAGACTCTTTTATAAGTCCCAAAAAATGTTTTTAATAAAAAAAAAACCCATTACAGATTCCCACCCTGGGATGCTCTCATTTTCACTAAATGCTGGGCTTGTAAAATAAACAATTTCAAGTCTAAATGGAGTTTAGAGAATTTTGGAGGGACGACTGAAAAAACGCTTCTCTACAAATGTGAATTGAGAGCATCCTGAAAACGTAGTGAGTTGTGGAAAGCGTACACATAACATTTAGCGGCGTATGATATAACAACGTGTATTTGGTTTTCATCCTTGATTCCCAGCACAGAGCTCCTAAAACCCTTGGAATTTCCACGATGGGGGTGTCTGCTATTAATCACCAAGTGTCACTTTGGAGCACATTGGAGTTTATGCTAATGAGGTGACTTAGGGTGGGGTCCCGTGAGCCTCAGGATAGGACTGGTCACCAGAAAGACCAAACGATTAGAGGGGCTGGAACTTCCAGGCCCGCCACCTCAACTTGGGAAGGGTGGGTGCAGGCTGGAGATTGAACTCTTGAACAACAAGATGTGATGAGGTTCCAGGTTGGGGAACAAGAACACATCCTTGTGCTAGTGGTATCTGAAGTGTGTGTGTGTGTGTGTGTGTGTGTGTGTGTGTGTGTGTTGGGGTGGGGCAGACGAAGCCCGTAACCTGCGGGATCTGATGCTATCTCTAGGTATAGAATATTGGAACTGAATTGTAGGCCGCCCCCCTCATACCTCTGGAGAATCAGAGAACTGGTTGAGGGCGTTGGAAAACACTCCACTGACCAATATACTAAATTATCTCCCTTCTTCATTTTTCCTGAAAGGCCTTTATTAAGAACCACCATGGTTTGGTTCTCCAGCAACTTTTATTGGTCAAACGATGTGGAATTCTATGCAGTACCTGTGGTTTAATTAATAGGCTCATTTGTAAACCAAGTTAACATCTTATTTTAAAAATTCTTGCTTTTGAATCAAGCGATGTGGCAGAACAGACATGCTCCTATCCCATGCAAAGAGCTGTTCAAAAGTGAGCAGCCTGCAGAACTATCATAAATGAGACGCCGAATCGAACATTCTTCCAGCGAGGTCCATGTAGTAGTTCAGTCTGAAAACTTACTTCATTTTCTGACTTTTCAAAACAAAAATATTCCAGGCATTAAAAAAAAAAAAAAAAGCAAAATTAAGACACCTAACACAGATACATACTGATCTTTTTACCCAAGTCACCTCCCAGAGTTTCTAGTGCCACTGTGCTCTGTTGATTAAATCGAACAACAAAAGCAGTGGCAGCTTCTAACTGAAAGGCAGTGAAATTCACCAGTCAGTCTGCAGCGAAAAGTCACAGTGAAAGAACATATATAAGGTGAAGAATGCTTTTTAACCTTTTGGCCTTAAGTAATACTGTATTTCAACTTTAAAGAAAAGTTCTGTTATACGTTTTTTGCATCGACATTTTAAAATATTAGAACAAGTCTTTGTAATACAATATATATTACACTTCGATATACCTTATGTGAATTAAAAACATGTCAACTCGATAACCGTAGTAAGGCATTTAAGTATTCAGCAAAAGCTATACAGAAATTTCTTGATGAGTGGTATTCCTTTAATATTAACTTGATTTAGTGGGTTTCCTTAAAATGAACACGAAACAATAAAAGACTGAAAAAAGAGGCAGTGACGTCATACACCGAATCCTAGGAAAAGCACAGTAACGAACAGTGTTTTCCAGCAGGGAGACCAGACAGAGCAGCAAACGGGGAACAGGTGAGCGGCCCCAGTTATACCATCCGTCGCATTTACCAACAGCCGAAAGTAGAATCGATTTCCTGGTAAGTTTGGGTAAAGGTAACAGAATCCTTAGTGCTGATCACAGTGCCTAAAACACAGCAGGTACTCTGGCTACACTTCCTGAATCGATCTGGACGAAGGTGCTGTAAAATCAACAGAGTGCTGGAAAGCGTCAAGTTCATGGAAAAACTCCATTTTCCATTTTATTTCCGTGTCTGAGTAACTACTGGTCTAGTATTTCAAGTGTGGGTTACGTAAACACTTTGTGGACCGTGGCAAATGGGAAGTAAATAAGCATCTCACTGGCCGTCAATGCCAGAGTCTTCGAATACCGGGTCATCAATATAACCAACTGTGCAATGTAGCTGACAGGATGATCAAAGTACACTCGCCATCGACAGGTTTTAGTTCAGACGATTAAGGAAAATAAAATTTTAGACTGCACTGGGAGCAACGTTCTATCAGATCCTACATCAGATACCATGCCGTGGAGACGTATTGAGTAAGAGTCTATATACAGCACACAGTGAGGATTTAAACGAAAAATGAAAGGGAAAATATGGACCAGAAAATTTTTACATACATGTATACCTCTAACGGTACTGTCCATTTAATGAGATTTATTATATGATTTGCTGTGCCACATCTACTAGCTTGCATATTACCCCAAATTATTCTTCTTCGCAGGAATATCTACTTCTGTATAAAGTAGAAAAAGACGGTGGTAAAAAACTTCTTCTTCAAGCTCCGACAACTGTGCCCCAAATAACACCTGAACACCTAAAAAATATGAAGAACAATTTAGAAATCCGCATAACTATAAATGTGCAGACAAATACAGCTTAAAGTCCCATAGGGACTTGGCGAACAGATCTGCCTACTCCACTTAAACATCATGTACACCTGTTAGACGATGTTGCAGGTGCATAAAAAAGTCCACCGTGGCAAATGGGAAAAGGGAAGCTTTACAAAGCTACGATCTCTACTTGCAAATTTTATAAAAAAAAAAAAGCCTATTTTAGCAACAGACACATTTAGACTCCAGTTAACCAAAAAACCTCTCCGTATTGATACAAAGGCAGAAGAATCTCTATCTCAATTACTCCCATCAACGACCACCCTTCCTTCCTTTCTAAGAGCCTATAGTTTACATTCTTTTAAGCAGAACGTTTTTTTTTTAATTTGTAGAGTTTAATCTACCATTTCCTATTTGTTTTCTATTTGTCTGATCTGTTCCTCACTCTCCCTTTCCTCTTTCTGCCTTCTTTTTGGTTATTTAGATTAATTACGTGTTTATTTCCTTCTCATTCCTATGTTGGTTAATGAGCCAAAACTCTTCGTCATGTTATTGTAGTGGTTGCTTTAGGACTTTCTTCTTACTGAGATTTTACTTTTTGGGAGCAGTTTGAAGTTCACGACAAAAGTGAGGGGAAAGTTCATAGATTTCCCAGTTTCCCAAATACCCGCTGCCCCTCATACATGCAGAGCCTCACCCGTGATCAGCATCCCAGACCAGAGTGGAACATGTGTTACCAGGGATGAAGCTGCACTGACACATCGTCATCCCCCCGAGTCCATTATTTACACTATGGTTAACTCTTGATGCTGTACATTGTATGGGTTTGGACAAATATATAATGAAATGTATCCATCGTTACAGTATCATAGAGAGTATTTTCACTGCCCCAAATATCCTCTAGGCCCTGCCTATTCATCCCCCCCAACCCCAACCCCTGATCTTTTAATTATCTTCATAGTTTTGCCTTTTCCAGAATGTCATCTTGTTCGAAGCATACAGTATATGTAGCCTTTTCATGGTTTGAGAGTTTTTTTGTTTTTTGGGGTTTTTTTTTTTTTAGCACTGAATTGTCCATTGCCTGGATGTACCATACTTCAGTGATCCATTTGCTGAAGGACATCTTACTCGTTTCTAAGTTTTGGTAATTATGAATAAAGCTGCTTTAAACATTCACGTGCAGATTTTTGTGTTTTCAACTCCTCTGGGTAAATACCAAGAAGTGAGACTGCCGGATCACATTGTAGGAGAATGTTTAGTCTTGTAAGAGCTGCCGCGCTGTCTTCCAAAGCGGCCGGACCATTTTGCATTCCCGGTGGGGACGTATGACAGTTCTCCTGCTCCACGCCCTCGCTAGCATCGGGTGTTGTGCGCGTCTTTTATTTTGGCCATTCTAGTAAGTATGCTGTGGTGGTACCTCATCGCTGTTTTAATTTGCATTTCCCTGATGACATATGATGTGCAGGATCTTTTCGTATACTCACTGCCACCTGTTTTAAGGGTTCTTTGTATTATTTGGTTTTTTTTTTTCAACGTTTATTTATTTTTGGGACAGAGAGAGACAGAGCATGAATGGGGGAGGGGCAGAGAGAGAGGGAGACACAGAATCGGAAACAGGCTCCAGGCTCTGAGCCATCAGCCCAGAGCCCGACGCGGGGCTCGAACCCACGGACCGCGAGATCGTGACCTGGCTGAAGTCGGACGCTTAACCGACTGCGCCACCCAGGCGCCCCTTCTTTGTATTATTTGGATAACAATCCTTAACTAGATGTCTTTCAGAAATATTTTCTCCCAGTCTGTGGCTTGTCTTCTCACTCTCTTGGTGTCTTTCCTAGAGCACAAGTTTTGTAACGGAACCCAGCTTATTGACTGGTTCTTTCGTGGATGGTGCCTCTGGTGCTGTATCTAAAAAGTCATCATTACATTGAAGATCACCTAGGCTTTTTCCTACGTTATCCTGTAGGGGTTTTATAGTTTTATGTTTTACATTTAGGTTTGTAATCCATTTTGATTTAATCTTTGTGAAAAGGGGGGTAAGGGGTGTGTGTGTGTGTGTGTGTGTGTGTGTGGTGTCTAGAGTCTTATTTATTTTTTGCACGTGGCTAGCCACTTGTTCTCGCACCGTCTGTTGAAAGGACCATCTTTGCTCCTTCATCAAAGATCGGCTGACTGTATTGACGTGGGTGTATTTCTGAGCTCTCTGCTCTGGTCCACTGATCTCTTTGTTCATGCTTTCGATACCAAACTGTCTGGACGACCATAGCTGTATAGTGTCTTGAAGTCCAGGATCTATGGTCGTCCAGCTTTGTTCTTCTCCTTCAATACAGTGGTGCTCATTCTGGGTCTTCTGTCACTCCGTGTCAACTTTAGAATCACTTTGGTTTTTCCTAATACAGATCTTACACGTATTTTGTTAGAATTAGACCCGAGTATTGCCTTTTTTTGAATGCTAATATACACAGTATTGTGTTTTTAATTTCAAACTGCACTTGTTCATTGCTGGTACATAGAGAAGTGATTGAGTTCTGTCTATTAACCTTGTATCTTGCCATATAACCTTGCCGTATAACCGCTTGCGTAGGAGCTTGTGGATTCTTTTGGATTTTCCACATAGATAACCATGTTGTCTGCGGACAGAGACATTAATTTCTTCCTTCCCTATCTGTGTACTTTTTATTTCCTTTTTTGTCTTACTGCATGAGCTAGAACTTCCAGGATGATGCTGAAAAGGAGTGGTGAGCAGAGACATCCTTCCTTGTTTCTTGTTATGAATTGGAAAGCTTCAAGTTTAAGGATGTTAGCAGTTTTCTATAGATACTCTTCCCCACGTTGAGGAAATTCCCCTCTATTCCTAGTTTACTGAGAATTTTCATCATGAATGGGTGTCGGATTTTTGTCAAATGATTTTTCTCTTGATGTGATCGGGTGATTTTTCTTCTTTAGCCCATGGATGTGATGATGGATTACATTAACTGATTTTGGAATGTTGAACCAGCCTGGCATACCTGGGATAAATCCCATTTGGAAGTGGCATAGAACTCTTTTTTGTACAGTGTTGGCTTCGATTTGCTAAAATTTTATTGAGGATTTTTGCATCTATATTCATGAGAGATACTGGTCTGTAGTTTTCTTGTCATGTCTTTGTCTGGTTTTGGAATTAGGGTAACGCTGGTCTCGTAGAACGAGTAGCAAGTATCCCATCTGCTTCTGTCCTGTGGAAGAGATTGTAGAGAAATGGTGTAATTTCTTCCTTAAATGGTGGAACTCACCAGTGAACCCATCTGGGCCTGGTGCTTTCTATTTTCGAAGATTATTAATCATTGGTTCAGTTTCTTTAATAGATGTAGACTTAGTCAAATTGTCTATTTTTTTCTTGGGTTTTGGCAAATAGGTCTTTCAAGGAATTGGTCTGTTTCATCTGTATTATCAAACTTGTGGGCATAGTGTTCTTTTACTATCCTTTTCATGTCCATAGGCTCTGCAGTGATTCCCCTCTTTCATCTCTGATATTAGTAATTTATGTCTCTCTTTTTTCTTAATTAGCCTGGCTACAAGGTTATTGATTGTATTGATCTTTTTCAATAAATCAGCTTTGATTTTGTTCATTTTTCTCCATTGATTTCTTGGTTTTCATCTCATTGATTTCTGCTCTAGTTCTTATTATTTCTTCTGCCTACTTTGAATTTAATTTGCTCTTCTTTTTCCAGTTTCTGATGGTGGACACTTAGATGACTGATTTTGAGATCTTTCTTCTTTTCTAATTATGCATTCAATGCTATAAATTTCCCTCTAACAATGCTTACACCACATTCCACATTTTGATAAGCAGTGTTTTGATTTTCATTTAATTCCAAATGTGTTTAAGTTCCTCTTGAGATTTCTTCCTTGACCCACGAGTTATTTAAAACTGTGTTAACCTCCACAGATTTTGGATTTTCCAGTTATCTCTCTGTTATTGATTTCGAGTTCAATTCCATTGCGGTCTAAGAGAAGACACTGTGTAATTTCTATTCTTTTAAATTTGTTAAGGTGTGTTTTATAGCTCCGAATGTTGTCTATCTTGGTGAATGTTCCATGTGAGCTTGAGAAGAATGTTTCAACGCTGTTGTTGAAAATACCTAATTTTAATTATACAATCACCTCTCCATTTCAACGTAGCTGCAAAAAGTGACAGCAACCTTTACAGCTAAGCATGTATAGAACGCCCAAGTAACGAAGAGTACAAGGTTGTGTCAGCAAAGATGCTGTGATGTGAGCACCTACCTGTGCACTCCCGTGCTGCTTTTAACAACCACACTCCTGAGCACTTGGGGCCTGTGCGCGACGTGGTGACCTCAGCTGTCTCAAGGCAGCATCTCCGTACTGAATACCAGAGCCCATTCTTTCTGGGTCCAGCTCACCTGAGGACCAAGCAAGTCTTCTTTAAAAGAAGTTTTTATGTTTCTGTGGTGCCCCAAATACATTCAGTGAAAAAAGCAAAGTGCAGAACACTGTGTGTAAACAGTGTTTTGAGGGGGGTCTGGGTGGCTCAGTCAGTTGACCATCTGACTCTTGATTTTGGCTCCAGTCATGATCTCACGGTTTATGAGTTTGAGCCCTGCACCGGGCTCTGCACTGACAGTGTGGAGCCTGCTTGGGATTCTCACTCCCTCTCTCCCTGTCCCTCCACCATTCACACTCTCTCAAAATAAATAAATAAACATAAAAAAAAAAACCCAATGTTTTGAATAAAGGAGTAAAACCATATACACATTTTCTCGCATGGGCATAAAAATACCTTTGGAAGGATATATAAAGAAGTGATAATAACGGCTGGCTTTAAGAAGGAGTTTTAGGGGCGCTTGGGTGGCTCAGTCGGTTAAGCGGCCGACTTTGGCTCAGGTCATGATCTTGCAGTTCGTGAGTTCGAGCCCCACGTTGGGCTCTGTGCTGATGGCTCAGAGCCTGGAGCCTGTTTCAGATTCTGTGTCTCCCTCTCTCTGACCCTCCCCATTCATGCTTTGTCTCTCTCTGTCTCAAAAATAAATAAACGTTAAAAAAAAAAAAAGGAGTTTTAGATGGCTAGGGGCCGCGAGAGGGGTGTGGAGGGAGACTTTCACTGTATCCTCTTTTGTATTTTTTGAATTTGGAATTATGTGAACGTAGTATGTACACAAAACTAAATTAATTTCAAATTAAACTACAAGGAGACCACTGCCTGCTTACCAGAATGGTACGAACCCAAGTGTGGTAATATCCCCCGTGGGCGTGGCTTTAGTGCAATAAGCACTTCTATTCATTCTAGTGGGGCTCCATTCCTCATATATAGCAGGAATGTGACAGCCTCGACCTAATATCCAAATGCTTAGGTTCTTTGACCTGGCAATTCCACTCCTGGGAACTTATCCTACACACTCCACACATGCGAAACGAGAATATAAAAAGTTATTCACTGCAGTATTATCTGTGACAGCAAGATGTCGGCAATAATCCAAATGTCCAAAGTAGACTGGTTAAATAAATTATGGCAACACAGACAACTGAATATTACATGTGCACACAAAATACGTACATGTGTACCTTAGCATATGTATGTATAGGGAAGTCTCTGTATGTTGATTTGTAAAAATCCGTAGATCTAGTAAGTACAAAAAGCAAGATGCAGCAGAATTTATAGTATGCTAACTTTTGTGTACAAAAAGAAAAAAAAAGAGGAGGAAATGATGGCTTTTGAACCATATTTAAAAAATACTGCTGAAAAATTTTAACTAATATCTTCATATTCTTTCACCTAGACATAATTATGATTTTGAGGATCTCAGAAGAAATAGACCTTGAAAGTTTTATATGAGTCAACTTATGTGTACTATATTCATGGATGCAGTATTAAGGCGGCAAGGTAATTAAATAAAATCTCAGGCTGAGCTTGACAACACTCAACACCAAGTCAATTTTAATAACAACGTATGTTATAGAGTCTTTAAAAGTAACAGTTTTTGTGCCAAATTTCGTAAAGAAAAAATATTCTGTTCTCAGATCAAGAAAATCCAGAAGGATGAAGTTTCCCTCTCTTGTATCTGGGCCCTCGACCCTCTCTCCCACTACCTCACCCAGTGCCCTACTTTCTCTGTCATGCCCTCTCCCTACCTCCTCTCCTTTACTTTCTACCTCATTTTCTCTCTCGGCACTTAGAAATGCTAAAATGTCTTCCATCACCGAAACCTCTTTACTCCTTTGTACCCTGCCATACCAGTACCTTCTTCCTCAAGAGAGGAATGAAAACTCACTCTGCTTTCTCACTTCCTCTTTGTTCCTCCTTTGTTGTCTTCTATTTTCATAATTCTGCTGGAGCTGTTCTTGATGAAGATGATCAGTGACTTCCTATTACCCACCCCTGTGGCTATTTCTTAGCTTAGTTCTTAGCTTATCAGACTGGTCTCCATCTCACTCGATCGCGAACAAGTCTTTGACTCGCTTAGTGTTTGGGCTGAAATGATACCCACTTTCCCCTGGCTCTTTCCAGACATCTCCGACCGTTTCCTTCTCTTTTGTAGGTTCCTCCTCTTCTCTCTCGGTCTCCAAGGCTCTGCTTCTTTTTTTTTTTTTTTTTTTAATTTTTTTTTCAACGTTTATTTATTTTTGGGACAGAGAGAGACAGAGCATGAACAGGGGAGGGGCAGAGAGAGAGGGAGACACAGAATCGGAAACAGGCTCCAGGCTCTGAGCCATCAGCCCAGAGCCCGACGCGAGGCTCGAACTCACGGACCGCGAGATCATGACCTGGCTGAAGTCGGGCGCTTAACCGACTGCGCCACCCAGGCACCCCTCCAAGGCTCTGCTTCTGATCACTGCTTTTCTCACTCTCAACTGCTCTCGGATGATCACGTTCCTTCCGTAGTTTCGACTACTCCAACGTACTGATGACTCCCAAATGGATACCGCCAGCCCAGACCTCTCCCCAGAGCTTGTAACTGCACGTGCTTGTTGTGCCAGTGGCACTGCAACGGGAACCCATCAGAAACGGACTCCCCTTCATTCCCTTGAGCCCGCTTATCCTCTGGCTTAATGACATCTCTTTACCGAGTTACCCAAGTGTGACATCTAGTTATCCTTGGCTCCTCATGCCTTCCTGACCCCACCGCCTCACCGCGCCCCTCACCCCAAAACCAACTGCCCTACTATTTAGCGTTGGAGTCACATGACGCTGCTACCAAAATATTTCTTAGATTCCTCTATATCTCCTTATCTTTACTTCCACATCCTCCTTAAAGCTTTAATCAGTCATATTTTACTTGGATCACTCAAAAATGCCTTAATTGCTCTCCTGGTCTCTAGTCCTGTTCTTTCACTCCGTCCTCGACGTGGCCGCCTACATGCATGATGTATCTCAGGTCGCGACCTGACCTTACCACTCACTGATCCCATCCCTGAATAGCTTCCCATCCCATACAGCCATGGTTCTCAATCCTGGAGGAGCGCTAGAGTCAATCACATACGAGGGCTTTTAGAAATGCTGATGCCCAGACTACGCTTTGGTCCAATTAATCAGCATCTCAAGAGGTGGGGCCTGGGATCTGAAGTTTCGTGTCCCAGGTGACTCTAGTGGACAGCCAGAGGTGAGACTCAGTAACCCACAGGACAAAGTTCCAGATCCTGGATGAGAATCACTGGCCTGGCAGGTGCCTCTCTCCAACCTTCTCCTCTGCCCCCCCCCCCCACTGTTCTAGTGATTTCAACTTTGCGGTCATTTTCTGCCAGTCTCAACTCCTGCTGTCCCTTCTGCTGGACTACCCTCCTCTCCACTCCCTAGGTTGGCTCATTCCTACATTTTGAAAGACTGGGCTCGGTTATCACCTCCTCTTGGAGGGTCACCACCTCCGTGACCTGGCTGGGCAGGGTCCCCTTCTCTGTGCGACCCCAGGATTCTATGCGCCTCCCAATTATTGTATCCTCCACACCGTATTGTAATGATCTTTTGATGTGTCTCATGAAAGACAGTTTCTTGAGGGCAAGGGTTGTGATTAATTCATTTTTGTATGCTAGCACCTGACAAAGAACCAACCTTCGGATATTTGAGTGAATCGATTAAAAAGTGAACGTCTACATATAATTTCGGTATCTTAACAAAACTCAACTTTATTTATTTTTTTTTTTTTTTTAAATTTTTTTTTTAACATTTATTTATTTTTGGGACAGAGAGAGACAGAGCATGAACGGGGGAGGGTCAGAGAGAGAGGGAGACACAGAATCGGAAACAGGCTCCAGGCTCTGAGCCATCAGCCCAGAGCCCGACGCGGGGCTCGAACTCACGGACCGCGAGATCGTGACCTGGCTGAAGTCGGACGCTTAACCGACTGCGCCACCCAGGCGCCCCACAAAACTCAACTTTAATAATGACAACTACATACTATTTTGTCGGCTGCCTAAACCAGGGTTATTTTATTTTTTTATGTTTTTTTTTAAAAACTGTTTATTTTTGAGAGAGAGAAAGAAAGAGAGAGAGTGTGTGCAAGCGGGCGAGGAGAGGGAGACAGAGGATCTGAAGCAGGCTCTGCACCGAGAGCAGAGAACGCAAGCAGGGCTCGAATTCACGAACCGTGAGACCATGACTTGAGCCAAGGTCGGACACTCAACTGGCAGAGCCACCCCGGAGCCCCAGGTTATTTTAAACTCATTTTTACTGAAGCGACAAATACAACAAAATAACGAGACGCGTTACTACCGAAGCATGCTCGGCTAGCTTCAGAAATAAATTATCCACGAGGTACAAGCTGCAAGTACCAACATCGTGCATGTACCCATAACTTCCTTAACCTCACGCAGGCGGTCCACCATCACGCCACATGACCGTGGCCCAGCAGGGCTAGTAAGCTGTTGTCAGAGAGCGAACAGAGCTCCAATCTTCCTCCTCGAAGCGATGGATCCCAAAAAGGCCGGGGTTCTGAAAGCCAACACCCACTGAGGCCCCGACTGCCCATCCTCTGTCACCAGTGGGCCATGGAAGCCACTATGAACAAGGGTGGGGTTTCACCTCAGCCATGTGCACAACGCCTTCAAAACCATAAGTGGCAATTTGAGGTTGGCGGATGTAGAGAGAATACTCCGGAACTAAATCACTCCTGGAAAACTAAAAGGTGATACTACCGGGCTAGACAGTAAAATATGCTGAAGAAAAGTTTATTGATGGAAAACTTTTTACCTGATTCAATTTTGTTAAGTATTTTTCTTGCACATTGTACAAAGGCCTCTTCCACGTTCTCCCCCGTTAGTGCACTTGTTTCCAAGAACATCAGCTCTAAAAGTGACATCAAACAAAACATGAAGCCATGTTTAGAGGACGATCACAATTCAATAATGGACAGCCTGTTCAGAATTCTCTTCGAACGGCAGGCAAAAAAGCAATTTATTACTTACGAACCACATATTTCTGCAAATAAAATCAATAAATGTAAATACGGCTTTTTAAATTTTTTTTTTCAACGTTTATTTATTTTTGGGACAGAGAGAGACAGAGCATGAACAGGGGAGGGGCAGAGAGAGAGGGAGACACAGAATCGGAAACAGGCTCCAGGCTCTGAGCCATCAGCCCAGAGCCCGACGCGGGGCTCGAACTCACGGACCGCGAGATCGTGACCTGGCTGAAGTCGGACGCTTAACCGACTGCGCCACCCAGGCGCCCCTAAATACGGCTTTTTAAATGTCAGAAGACATCTACGCTTTCCTGAAAAGCGGGAGACGCCTTGTGCTAGCACTTAAGTCTACTGGAGAGACCGTGCGAGCTCCAGCGTTCGGTAAGGAAGCAGGCTGCTAGAAAGGGCCCAGCTGTCGACACGAGATGGAGATCCTCCAAGTATTCTTCATGTCACCATGGATACAACCGAAAGGTTTTTCATTTTGGAGGGGACTACACGGCAGCTTGTCTTTCTGACGGCGAAGAGGCCTTCTATGAATTAACACTCTTCGTATCCACCAGGGCGCTTACTACCCCAGTGGGGAGGCGGGCTCGCCTTGCTTCTGTATTTCTAAATGGTTTCTTTCCAAACTCACGATGGCTTAGGTTCTTCTCCCATGCTTATTTTCTTAGCACAACGCCAATCTGTAAGAGTATAATTTGGCAGTCCTAGACTCCAAGTGACAATTGGCGCTAGGATATTTTAGTTCTTGACTGGTTCTAAAAATTATTTAAAATGTCTAAATTCTGATCGTTTTGTGATCTATAAGCAACCATTAATTTTATGTGTCGCTCTCTGGTGTTCTGTATGGAAAATCATAGAGGTTTCAAAGGCATCTAGAACCAAATGACTTTAATTTAATGTAACTAAAATAAAGCCAATAAGCCTAGTATCTCTTCCACTGCTTCCTCTTCTATTTAGATCTAACATTTTACCAACTTAGCTCCAAATTACATTAGAGAGGGGGGGAAAAAAAAAAAAGGACAGGACATCACCTGATTAGGGCCTTTAAAAATTATTAGTATAAATTTCACTTTAGACCAAAGCCTGGGCTGTTCAAAGACCTTGGACTGAAAGGTCATTACACGGTATTAGCACACTTGCTTTTATCCTCATCGTAACCTGGCGGGCAGAATACAGTGAAAATAGGTTAAGTAAGTCTAAATTTACTAAAAACCACAGGAGATCTCACATTTCTTAAGTACGGCTTAATCCTAAAATTTCAGTAGATACGGTAAACCCAAAGCAATGTTGTTACCCCCAGATCCGCCCATTTGAAAAGCGGTAGTATTAAGTAAAAGGTCACTTGCCATTTTCTTGAGCAAATCTGGAGGCTTCTAAGAAAGTAACCTCACGATCTGCATCCAGGTCCTTCTTGTTCCCACAGAGGATGATCACAATGTTCTGACTCGCTAGCATTCTGGCATCTGTTAACCAATTAGTAAGCGCATTGTAGGTTTCTCGGCTGCATGATATAAGATTGTGAAAATAATACATGTTTTTTATAAAACTAGCAACTCTTTCCAATCATTCACACTACTCACACTGCTTTTAAACATGTCAGGGTAATGTCAACAACCTTTAAGGTTACTCAGGTAACCCGAATGCTCAATTACACACCACGCCATAGGGTTTGTTTCTTTTCCTTCCAGAAAAATGGCGACAGCAAGTCAGACATTTTGCTATTTGTTTTTGCCCAATCGGTGCAAAAGGAAACAGAAGTTCCTTTATTCATTTTGCTAATATTTATTGAGCTCTTAGCTCTAGGCTCAGTTGTGTGCAACGTGGGGAAGCAAGTTCTAGTTCTAACAGGTAGCTGCTATCATGTAGCAGGTCTGTGCGGCGTGCTCGTACTTTGTAAGAATTTATCACATTCTTTATAAAGACTCTGTGCATAAACTCTACCTCCCTCTTCCATGAGAAGCCTGAGGCCCGGAGAGATTAATTAAGTTGCCCAAAGTCACACAAGCAGCCAGTGGCGGAGCCAGGACTTGACTGGGTCCGTCGGACTCCAGGACCAGCTCCGCCATCTGCCGTCTTCTGTCCTGATACATTCAGGGCCACATCTGCCCTGCGGGCAGATTACTTAGCCTGATGACTTTGCAGTTGGCAAGCTGAGCCTTTCACTGCCTGAGCAAGTGCGGCAGGGCCGGGCCAGGAGCTGCCCACCTCATTGCCAGGGTGCCTCCTTCCGAACACACAGACCGGGTGTCACAGCAGCAAGGTGACACTCTTTGGGCAAGTTCCTACCGGAAAGAGCTGCCAGATGATAGGGTATAGATGACATTTTTAAGGTGGTGCCGGCACACACTGAGATCAGTGCTGTCTGATGGGACTTCTGCAAGGACAAGAACGTTCTATAATCCGTACCGTCCAATTCAGCAGCCACCAGTCCCGTGAGGCTACTGAGCCCTCGAGGTGGGGCAAGTGAGACTAAGGAACCAGATTTCGAATTTAATTCGTGATACGTGGGTGACAGTGCACTCAGATCCTTATGGTGTGCCAAGAGCCTTAACACCAACCGATTTAACCAGCTGCAAACCTCCCAAGTCTTACGCAATTATCAGCGCTCCCTGTAACGGACCAGGACACTGAAGTCCAGACGCTACGGCACCCTCCCCGAGGACCACCCAGCTAGCCGCCCAGAGCTGCATGCGAACCCGGGCGGTCAGAGCCCAGAGCCTGGGCCCTCACCTTTCGTCGACATCGATGACTTCTAATAATTTACCACACGGAAACGTTCACTTTGGGAACCTTGAGGAATGTGTCAAAGCATCAAGCTAAGAAACCTAATGAACCGCTGGGGATGCTTTATCTAAAACCTCACTGCTGCATTTCCTTACGTGGCAAAGGGGCGGCAGCGGCTGGCTCAGACACCTCTAAAGCCCCGGATGAAGGGGCCGAGGGGATTCCAGAATCCCAGGCACAAAGCACACACTGCACGTAGGTGCGCTTTGGCAAGACCAGGCTCCGGGGAGCAGGGCTGCCTCTTCCACCGGGGGTGGGGATTGGGGGGGGGGGGTCCACGTTACCTGGTGATGTCGTAGACGAGGAGTGCTCCCGCAGCACCTCTGTAATAACTTCTCGTCACAGACCTGAAAGAGTTACACTACTCTTACTTCCGGCCAATCAAGACCCTCTCCCACTGAACACTGTCACCTCTTTTTGCTTTGCAGACCACCGCGCAGGGACAGGTGTTGCATTCAAACAGAAATGATGCAGACATCTGAGCGAGCGCACGGGGGGCGGCTCGTCTGTCTGAAATCACGTCACGGAAACGCTGGGGAGGTGGGGGGACGTGCGGCTGAGACGATGACATTTCCTAACAGGTAGATGAAGCTCTCCCCCAGCACCCAAGATAGGCTCTGGACTTACAAGGAGGGGCAAAGCGTCTTAGGGAGCCATCAGAACCCCTAGGCGGGCGCTCAGCACCCCGCACTCCTGCCCTGCTTCCTCTGGGGAGTTTCAGGCCTTCTCCATGGCCCTGCGTAGCTGCCCCCCTCTTTTCCCGGGAAAAGGGAAGTCCTCGGGTGGGAGGCCACTGCATCTTCCAACCGGGAAGCCACTGCCCCCCCCCCCCCGCCCCGTACTCACCTTCTTTTCCCCTCCCCACTCCTAACAAGGAAAGGCCGCTTCGCCTATGCCAACCGAGTGCCGCTGACACATCTTACCCGTTCTCACGGTCCTCAGGATTATTTTCTCTCAGTAACCCGCTTTCTCCCCAGCAGTATCAGTCTCTCCTTCTCTGTTAGATTCCACCCCCCATCAGCAACATAAAATGTGCTCCGCTACGTCCCATCTCGAACAGCAAGACGTGCGGCACAGTCCTTTCGGCTACCGTCCCGCTGTTTGTTCCTCTCTGCACCCCAATTCCTCCAAAGCAGTTGTCCCCAGCAGCTGTTTCCTTCTCTTCACCACTGCTCTGGAGTCCGTGTCCGCTCCTCCGAGTCCGGCGGCATTTCTGGGTCCTCATCGCTCCACCCCGCCTCACCCCTCCCTGAACCAGCCGCCCCCCTCTCCTCCCTCACTGGCCGCTTCTCCTCCTTCAGCTCGGGGTCACACTCTCGCGAGCCAGCCTGCCCTGTTTGTCCCAGGGTTCCTCGGAGCTGGGGCTCAGTCCCCGGTTCTCTCTTCTAGTCACACCTTGACCCGAGAGTAATCTGCGGCTCGGGCTACTTCTGGAAGATCCGGCTGCTGCCCCAACACCCCCTCGTGACTGCCTAATGAACATGTCACACTTAACATTTACAAGACAGGACGTCTTGGCTCCTACCCGCCACGTCCATTCTGGTTTGGGGGGTGGGGAACGCCACCGCCCCTCTGTTTATCAGCCAGAAAACTCTGCTTTTATCCTCAACCTTCTCCACACTGGACCCACCAGTCAGGTCTTGGCTCACTAACTGACGTCTCCTGCATCGTCCATGTTCTTCCAGCTTCACCAGGGCCATCCTAACCCAAACCACCGGTCTCCGCCTGGATCCCTGCAGTCACCCACTACCACGCGTGTCCCCACGGCCACTTGCGTCCCCTGGTCCATTTTCCTGAGCAACCAAATTCCTCGTCAACACCTACAAGGCTTCCTGTGCTCAGACGCTGGAAATGGACCTCAACTGCCAACGGTCGATGATTGAATCAACCGTGTTCACCCACCGACACCTCCGTAAGAACCCCTGAATGATAGGGTTCGGAGAGCTTCTGAGTTCATGATCACTTGCAGGGGCAGAGAGGGCAGAGCACCCAGAGAGGTCCTGGGAGCTCAGCGCCCAATTCCCACATACATTGCCCAATGCATCTCTTGGCTGTTCCTGGGTTGTACCCTTTATAATAAGCTGGTGACAGTGAATGCAGTCCTTCCCTGAGTTCTGTGAGCTGTTCTAACAAATTACTGAACCTGGGGGATGTGTTGTGGGAACCTGTGAATTTGTATTTTGCTGGGCAGAAGGGAGGATGGCCTGGGCACCTAATTTAGGACTAGTGTATGAAGTGGGAGCACGTCTGTGGGACCCCTTAGCCTGTGGGGTCGGATGCTAACTCCAGAGAGAGTCAGAATTGGAGTTGAATTGTTGGACACTGAGTTGGTATCGGAAAACTGGAGAACAGGTGTGGAAAACCCCCCGTTTGGTGTCAGAAAATACACATCACAGAACAGTGCCTATCTTTAGGGCAAAAAGAAAACTGGGGAACTTATCAAAAACAAACAAGATGACTCATGATTAGTTTGATACTTTGAAAAGGGCAGCTATTTTTAAATGTATTTCTCGGCTCTTAAACTCCAAAGGCACATAGATAGCTTGTAGGCTTTTCCTTTCTACCCGTAGACTGCGCTCTGCAGGGCATATGCTTGGAGACCTGGCGGACAGGTGCAGCGTGGGAAGGGCCGCATTGTGAGTGCTTCCTGGGGCCGCCTCTCGGACTGGAGGGAGGCCTCTTCTCCACATACGCGGAGGCAACTCTTTTCTATTTTAGTTTCCAGAAACTAGCAGACATCTAGTTTCCAGAGAAAGGGGTAAGAGTTTTCCTCAAGATAAACTGAATTATATCGGCTGCGTCATTCACTTTAAAACACGGTATTTTGACATGTGGTGTCTAACAAATTATTCAAGTATACAAATTTAAGCATTTAAGAGTACTTTTTTGAGGCAGTTAGTGTTTCTCAAAAGTCATTTAAAACAGAGTAATACAGGTACATAGTTTCAAAAGGAAATAGCGCTGAAAGTCTCAACATGAAACTCCACTGTCTCCCGCCTCACTCTTCCTGGGAGCCCCACTCCCAAGGCGAGTTCCTTCCCTTGCACTTGACTTTTTTCCGAAATGAAGTCACTAACAGAATACATGTTGAACACCTACGTGCTATCTTCTCCCCGGGGCTTTGGAGAAGCAACAAAGAAACGCACAAACGTCCCTACTCTCGTGGATCTTCGTTTCCTTTCTCCGGCATTTGCTTTCATCTTTCTGTAAAATGCTTATGAAACTATTCGACTTGCGAGTTTCAGGGCTTACTGCTTTCCTGCTTTGGTAAGAATCTAGCACACTCATGACCTCCCACCCCCTTCCCTCCGTCTCCTCTTCCTCCCGGGGAGCACCCTTGCCTGCCCCCAACCGGCCTGCAGTGCCTCCTTGTTCTTCTCCCCAGCTGGGTGGATGGACTTCACCATCCTCTTTCAGGGTTCACTTCTTTGTACTGATGAAGCATACCCTCCCGAAGCTTCTAAGAAAGAGTGTGTGAAAGACCTTTGTTTCCCCTAGTCTTGAATATCTGAAGGTCTTCTGACTTCAGTATCTGCCACACTTGATTGATAGTTTGGCTAAGTTTCCAAGGTCGGAATGGGCTTTTTCATGCTGAGTTGGCAACGGGAGGCTTCAGTATCTTCTGACTTCTGCCTGCTGCTGCTGAACGGTGAAATGCAATCCCCATTTCTGCTCCTTTAATGTGACTGTGGTTTTCTTCCGGGGGTCTTTTTGTATCGCCACTACCTCTTTGTCCTCTGAAATTTCACACGACACGCACGCTAGTTGGGATTTTTTTGCCCCATTCATCTGCATTTGGTCTAAGGCGGGCCCGATACATCTGGAATCTCATTTCTTCAGTAGAAAAATCACAGAGATTGGGCTATTCCACTGGAGACGCCAACATGTTAATATATTTAGGCCTTTCCTTTGGGGCTACTCATTCTTCTGCAGAGAAAAATTGTTTCTCCTGAATACGCACCTGGCGGCCAGCAGCCAGGGAAGAGGTGGGAGAAGAGGGCGAGGGTTCGCAGACTTTCACCGATTTCCTTCTTTTCAGTCCTTCCCTCGTCCCTGTCCTCTGCTGCGCCTTATGACTTCGCGTCTAGACCCTGCTTTAACTCAGAGACTGAACTTCTCATCGTGTGTGTGTGTGTGTGTGTGTGTGTGTGCGCACATACAGAAACACTTTAAACCTCCCTCCTGTAGAACCTGAAGCTTCCAAATCCTGACCTTTCTCGGGACTCAGCAGGAGGATGTGGCCTCCAGCTCCCTGGCCTCCCCCATTATGGGCACTTAGATGTAGCTTTTAGTCAGTCACCATCCACTAATCACGTACCCTCCCTTTCTGGGTGTTTGCGAGTTAATGCCATTTCTGTTATTTTATAGTCATTCCGGTGAGGGTTCGGGGCTGAGAAAACACAAGTCTGCGTGTTTGATGAGTGGTTCCAGAAGAATGATCGTGATTAAAAATGGTTTCGATATTTCTGAAGCAAACAATTATTGAACATTTAAAATATAATATACTCCTGACTTTAATGAAATGAAATGCGTATAGTGAGAGTGAGTTTTACTTAACTGAATTTTAAGACCGTGAATATCCGTTCTGTTTTGACTTTGTGTATCTGTTCAAAAAACACACCTAAAATATCAATCTACTTTCTTGCTTTAGTAGTTACAGACTATTAAACATGTAACCTCCTATGCAGTGATCTGGGGTCATAATTTCAAACATCAATTATGACTATAGTGTAATAAAAATGTGCAGGAGAGAATATTTGGTGGAACGTATACCAGCCATCAGCACGTGCTAGTTAATGTAAAACAAAAGAAAACCGCAAAAGAGGTTTTTAAAAATTTTCCTTTAAAAGTGGAAGACAGAGAAGAAATTGTTGTGCTATTACTTTGCCTTAATTTTAATCTCAAAGTATACTGCAGAATACACAAGGTCACGTCCTCCAAATGTACTCGCTAATCCCAAAGAATAACTCAGCCTCTACGTTAGGATGCGTTCGCTCAAGAGAGATTCTAACGCGTTCTTTAGCAAGTCAGTGTCACCTGGAGAAAACAGTCCTTTAAGACAAGAAGCTGCTCTTTAAGCTTCCAGAGGTGAAGGTTCTGAAATCTGTGTAGGGGAGAAGACAACTACACATATTAAAAGGCGATAATTGGTTATTTCAAATCCAATTTTCAAATATTTTTATTAAGGTAGAGAGAAAGCTACCTGAATCGTTCTTGGCCTGCTGTATCCCATATCTGTAACTTTACATATTTACCACCAACATTTATTATCTTTGAACCAAACTCCACTCCTATTGTATGATTTGAGTCATCTTTGACTGAAAAAGAAAAAGAACAAGGTATTTAATTTTAGAACATTAAGGAAACAGGCTTACAGATTTAAACAAGTGAAATCAAGGGTTAAAGTCAACGGAAATGTAATTTACTGTAGCCTTTCATTTTTCCAACAGTCAGTTGATACGAAGCACTCACTGTTTTAAACAGAACACACACACACTTCCTCTTCTGAAGGAGGCGATAAGGCTCTTTTGCAAAACCCCCAAAACAAACCATACATTTTAAAGTCTAGGCTTGGAAATGGCTACATCACATGAGAACCACATCTACCCGTCCACGGGGAGGGTACTCACAAATGGTGACTGCATAAAATACCCGGGTGCCCCCCGAAAGGGCTTATGGCCCACTGTACCTCAGTCAGTAATGAAGAGGTAAGAATTCCCACTATTTGAATGGATAAATATTCCAAAGAAATCAAAGGGGAGGAAAAACACTGTAGCCCCCAAAAGAAACCTGATGGACACCAGAGATGAAGGGAAAAAGAGGAAAAGATAAAACAAAAACAAAAACAAAAACAAACAAACCCCAAACCCAAAGCCTCTATGCATATTATCGTGGATTTTAGTACTGTGTGGCAATAACTTGGAGTGAACTTGTTGGAGAAGTCAATACTCTCTGTGCCAGGAGGCGGGCAAAATAAGCAGCTTGCTAAGCCCACCCTGAGTAAGCGGTCTGTGAAGGAACACTGCTGTGGCGATGAACACCGAGGATGGCTCCACGGCCCATGACCGGCTTCCACTTTGTGGCTCCATGGCCTGTGACTGGCTTCCACTTTACAGCCGTAGGGCCAAAGTCAGGGATGCCACGTGACGGGGTGCTGAGTTTCCTGGTGTGTGTGTGTGTGTGTGTGTGTGTGTGTGTGCGCGCGCGCGCGCATGTGGGTGCACAAAACAGGTTCATACTGACCACACAGGCCTGTCCCAGACAGTGTGGAGCTAGTGTGGACATTGTAGAATTCAAGCTACCGAGAAACCTTGGAGTAAAAGGCTCAAAGGGTGATGGCTAAGGTCGGAGGGCATCCTGATTACAACATGGCCACAAGAGGAATAAAGTGAAACCTTTCCCGTGATGCTCTAGACCACGTGGACTAACACCACACAGGTACCGGTCTCTGTGGCGAGGCCTTAGGGGAGGACGATCAAGGGAGAGCTCGCCACAGAGAGAGGACACAAGGATTAATAAGCAGGTGGGCAGTGGGCCCAATGTCCTGGGGGCCTTCTCTTCTGAGATGCTATAATGCAGTGTTGGCAACCTGTGAGGGGGGCTGGGCCCCCGGGGGGGGGGGGAATATGTGTTCCACTCGGTAAGGACTGGCTCTGTGACTAATCCATGCTGGGGCCGTGTCACTGGACAGAGGTTCCAACAAGTCCTTGGAGATTGAAAATGGAAATAGCGGAATACGCTTCTACAGTTTTACTCCTCGAAGCTCTTTGCCTGGATACCCTCTGCCGTCTCTTTGCCCATTTTACCCACCCCCACTTCAGCAAGGGCAGTTAATTCTGCTTCCGTGCCTTTACCCACCTGCCGCGAAACAGGTCATTCCCCACCATTCTTTCCATGGCTCTAAGAGCACTGTTTATTTTCAGGGTCTCTAGGTCTAACCAAGTCTCTTACAATACCTCGGAGTAAAAAATCCAACCTCCCTTACCAAAAGAGCGCCAAGTCAATGGCAAAAAGATGGGTCTGTGGTCAAAAGGTCCGGGCTTGAGTCTAATCAACTACCCTCCCAAGGTGGTGGGATGACCGTCCCAAGAGCACACACCCACTTCTCTAAACCTACGCCTTTTACCTGCGGAACGGAACTGAGGACAACAGCTGCCTTCACTGTAGTACAAGGCTGCCGAGGACCCCACATGACTGGCTTATCTACAATGTGCCGCTAGGGCTCTTTGGGCGGCTGGCTCCCTGTCAGGGAATGACATTCCTCCTTTGCCTTCCGCTTCACCATGTTGTAGCTCAGTGTCTGGAATGTATCTGAGTATGTGGGAAAATGGATGGTATGATAATATGCCGAATGATGAGCCATCATCAAACTGAAATAACTTGACGAAAACCACAGGCATGTTGCTGAAAGCTTAATACGACATAAACTTTTAACGTTATTTTAACACATTTTAAACTAGAACTCTTTGCTGAAATAATATTCACAAGTTTTACTACAAACAAATCTGAGCAAGGGAGCACTCTCAGAAAAAGACATGCACGAAACACTGACCGTTTGATGTCACTTACATTTTTTTTCTATAAACTGATGAAGCAAGCAAGACTTGCCAGTTCCTGCATTTCCAATAACCAAGAACTTAAACAAAAAATCTGAAAAACAAAAAGAGACTATGAAAAAAACCTTTAAAACGTGCTATGTTTATTCTTAGACTATGATTAAAAAAAAGAAAAGTTAGTAAGACCCGACTTAACAGAAAAGAGAGGTAACTACCCTGTGAAAACAACAATACACGTGTCAACTTACCTTTTCACCTCTTGGATATTTGGCTTACATGCCAATTCAGTGGTTTCCCAAACTGTGCTCCTGGGACAACTTCCTTTCATGTTGCAAGTCTGGCGACTGTTCTTGTAACGTATAAAATTTGTCCCTTTGCGAGTCACTATTCTAAGAAATACGCATAAGCAGTGACAAGAAAAAATAGCCTAGAAATTTCAAGTGTTTCTGTACAAACGGAAAACCCTGGGAAACTTCTAGGCTTTGAGAAGTTCACTCCTTTCCTTTTAAAAATAGGTATGCTTTCCAGGGGTGCCTGGGTGGCTCAGTCGGTTGGGCGTCCGACTTCAGCTCAGGTCGTGATCTCGCACTCTGTGGGTTCGAGCCCCGTGTCGGGCTTTGCGCCGACAGCTCGGAGCGTGGAGCCTGCTTCGGATTCTGTCTCCTCCTCTCTCTGTCCCTCCCCCACTCGCACTCTGTCCCTCTCTCAAAAATAAAATGAAAACATTAAAAAAAGTTTTTAAAAAGATAAAAAAAAAATAGGTACGCTTCCTCCCGCCCTTGCGGATTTTTGTGGTCTTGCTTCTATCCCCTTGTCTGTAACTTGTGGGAAGGACAGCTTGAGCCAAGTTTGAGTCAGTATTCCAAGGGTGAAATTTGTCTCATTCAGCGTAGAAAGAATTTCTCATTTCTTCTTTACAGAGTAATATGTTTAATTTGGGATATTATTTTACACGAAATGGAAATGAAGACTCTCCAGTGCAATTTGTTATTTAATCAGCATGATGTAGCATCGGTAGCCCCACGATGCCTTAGTAATCCATTTTGCTTTTGCTGTTAGCAAAGAACTTGAGTTATGCGGAGCCCAGGTGCTGCAGAGGACCCCTCCCACCCCGACCCCTCCCACTTTGATCAGAAGCCATCGACCGCTAGCCCCCGTGCTGCTGGACTCATTGCGTGGCCCTGATGAGTCTGTACTGCGGGTTCCCTGGTTTGCACCTCTGAAAGTGTTGCCTCCATACATCCTTTCCGAACCCAGACCAAGCGCTCCGAGCCCTGGCTCCCTCTTTCCCCCAAGGAAGCTCAAACAGCCCATTTCTTTGCTGAAGCTTAGCCTAGCCCTGTTTCTTAAGACCTATATTCATCATCACTCCCAGATTAAGCCGATTCAACCTCTCACGATTTCCACAAGGTTACAGGCAATGAGCTTAGTGGATAGTGCTATGAGAATTGTCGGCGCTTAAAAATAACAAGTTTCATGCTTCTCGTTGTGTGTTTTGAAAGCATGCACATTCAGGTTCACGGCAGCATTATTCGGAGTAGTCAGAAAGAAGCATTATTTATAAATAAATGGATAAACAAAATACGGTGCATACAAACAGCGGAATATTACTCAGGCTTGAAAGTGAGGAAATTCTGACACATGTCACAACACGGATGGACCTCAAAGACATTACGCTAAGGGAAACAATCCAGTCACGACAGGAGAAATACTGTATGATTCCATTTCTATAATGTACCTAGAGTAATCAGACTCCGAGACAGAAAGTAGAACCGTGGCTGCCAGTGGCTGGGGAAGAGGGGAAACGAGCATCAGTTTGGAAAGATGAAAAAGTTCTGGAGACAGACTGTGGTAACGGTTGTACTCCAATGTGAATGTGCTAAATGCAGATGAACTGCAGACTTAAAAATGGGGAGAACGGCAAATCTTACGTAATTCTACCACACACACACACACACACTAAAACATGCCAAATCTAATCATTTTCATCAAACAGCTTCTATAACCTACGACGTCGAAGGGAAGATGGTTAAGATTGCCAGGTTAAAATGAAAACACTGGAATCTTTCAATCTTGTTCAATATCTTCTTCTTCTTAAGATATAAAGCCCGATCATTGTGCAGTTGACCTTTGAACAACTGAGTGCGTCCACTTACGTGTGGATCTTTTTAACAGTACGGTACTGTAAACGTATTTTCTCTTCCTTGTGATATTCTTAGTAGCGTTTTCTTTTCTCTAGCTTGCCTAATCATAAGAACGTGATATATAACACGTACAGTATAGAAAATACATGTCAACTGGTATTTTATGTTATCAGTAAGGCTCCCCGTCAATAGGAGGACATTAGTAGTTAAGTTTTTGAGTGGTCAAATTTCTATGAAGGTTTTCAACTGTCCAGAGGGTTGGCACCCTTTGCCCCTGTGTTGTTCGAGAGTCAACCCTATAAGTTAGAAACAGAAAAGGGTGAGGGCTAAATAAAGATGCTGCCAATATGCAGGCAACAGTAAGTACTGAAAAAGAAAAGAATCTGTATACGCAAATTGAAATGTTTATGTGTTATGTCTACGCAGAAAACTGAGGATCACAAATCTACGTGCTCCTGGAACAAAAACTCGGACAGCTAAACATAGACTTTGGCTTGACTCTTGTTCCACTGTTTTCTTCTCCTTTGGAAATTTTGCTAAATGTACTTTACTACGGTAACTGCTACCCGGGTTGTCCCATAGCTCCAAAAGGCAAAAGGGTAACATATCCACTGAGCT